GGGTTGCGATCCGTTGCCGGACACGAAAAAAGACAAAAAGGAAAAAAATATATATATATAAGGTGAAATGGAACAAAAGCATATATCCTAAGTCTAGTAATGGGTTGTTTTCATAAAAGAAATTATTTAGCTGTCAGTTTTAACTGTAGTGTCTATAATACTTTAACTTTCCCTTTTTAAACTATTAAATATACTTTTGGGTATTTTTTTTCCTCGATTTCCTAATTCATGGTTTTCTTTTTCGTTCGTTCTTGTGTGTAGGTTCAGTGGTCACCTCACAATGAGACTATTTTGGCTTCCAGTGGTACTGATCGCAGACTGAATGTCTGGGATTTAAGGTGAGTCTTGTATTAGTTACTTTTTCCATGGAGTTATCTTCTTTACATTTTTTTACACTTTTCAAAGGTAGCTAATCAGGGTAAATCTGTTATAACTTTTAAATTATGTTTTCGTGCTAGTAAAATTGGAGAGGAACAATCCCCGGAAGATGCAGAAGATGGGCCACCAGAGTTGTTGGTATGTTACAAGCATTGAACAGTATTGAAGTAGTCTGTAATTTAATGTCCTCTGTGTGCATTTCATATCTTTGTTTTCTTCCTTTCAGTTTATTCATGGTGGTCACACTGCCAAGATATCTGATTTCTCCTGGAATCCCAATGAACCTTGGGTGATTTGTTCTGTATCAGAAGACAATATCATGCAAGTGTGGCAAATGGTAAGTGTTTGGTCATTTGTTTGGGGAAGGTTAGATAAATGAGACATAGCTTCATTTCATATTTAAATGCTTTATGAATACAACTGCCATCTCTGTTCAGTTTACTCCCAGATGTGACTTTAGTGTTCATCTGCACATTAGCATTTTCAACTGCCTCCTCTTTTTTGGATTGTCCCACTGGTATTTTAAACTCAGCTAAACAAAACTTCCTGTCTACTACTACTACTAATTCCTCTTTCCTCCTCTTAACTTTCTTGTTTTCTGAATGGCTTCGGTGTTTCCCCAGCTAAAACTTGAAAACTACTCGCCTCGTCTTTTCACCTCTATGTCTAGTTCACTTACCAGATTTTTTTTTTTCCCCTTTTTGTCTTTTTTCGTGACCGGTAATGGGATCGCAACGCTCGGTGTC